GATAATATCAGTAAAAATTGGTTTAAAAAAAAGCAGAAGAACTATCACCATCAATAAGGATCTAGAAAAGAGAAGAATGAAACTTTTAAAAATAATAGCACAAGTTTAGCACAAAAAAATACAACTAATATTATTTCTACAAAAAAAAAAGATAATTTTTATGTTACATTTGGTGATTTGCTACTCTGTTCTTTTTCTTCATAACTTTTTCTACAAAATATTTTTTACATAGTTTTAGTTTGGTTAACAAATGTCTATTCAAATAGATACACCGTTTGAAGCACCGAAGTAGATTTTTTTTCAACATTCAATAATGCTTTTCCGTTTTTCTTTTTTCTTCCCCATGCACATTAAGTACATTTGCAGTAAATAAATAAAAGAAGATGAACAAAAGATACGTACCATATTTTTCATAGCAATATGCAAATTTACCAAAACAATCAGTAATGCCCATTGTTCAGTAAAGCTGTTAATGAACAGAACGAGAAAGAACCACTGGTGACAAGACGAACAAAACAGTTCGCGTTATCGTCTGATTAGACGTTAGAAAATGTTGTCCACATTCGACACACTACTTTAGAATAATCATAACACATTGTCAACAGTTCATCAAGAAAAAATAAATAAATAAATGAAATTTATGCTTCATTTTTGTATAACATTCAAATACAGAAGAAAAAATGGCATACTAAAAGATGTCGAAAATGCAAATGTAATTAAATTAATGTTTTAGTCAAATCTTATAATATCGTAACAAAGACCATTCTTTTGTTACCATCGTTGTTAGTTGTTGTCACTGTTGTTGTCACTGTTGTTATTTTGCCAGGTTTTTTTTTTCAAACCAAAAGTTACTGGTGTAAAACACCTAGCACCAGAAAATATAAGTAGAAAAAACTACTAAGAACAGAAAAACAAAATCCAAGTTTTTTTACCTGCTCTTTACTAGCACTAATATTCTGGAAAGACCAATGTTTGGCATACTGCCCGAACTGTGCATAACATAAACCCCAAGATATAAACGCAAAAACAGTGTTGAAAACTGATCAGATCTGTCAACAGCAGCTTCAGCTTCAGTAGCTGCACTGCCAGAAACAGTAACAGCAGCAACAACAACGACGACAACGCCGACAGCAACAACGACATCAACATCAACAACAACAGAGGAACGACGAGGAAACAAAGGAAAAATGTTTGCAACTAGACAAACTTTATTGTGGTCGTATCCTTCGGCGAACTTGTAATTTGTATCTCTGTACCACGACGGATGGAATGCGACCCTTAAAAAAAAATTTATAGATGTATATGTATTGATTTCTAAATTCAGACATAATTTTATGTCCCATCCAAAAATGGAATAAAAATAAAATTTTAAACAGTTCAAGAATCCACAGAACAAGAACACTCATAAAGATCACTCTCTCCATTTACCCGACTGATTAACATTTCTTCACTATATTATCATCTGTGTCCAAACGTCGCAATGTGCTTGTGTCAAGTCGTGCAGTGCTAACTTCAGACATTTCTACAGGTACGCTAAGAAACTAGTCTTACTACTGTCTCCAATCTTCTTAAAAAGTTGTTTTATTTATGTAGCCTTTAGCGGATATTCACTGAACCAGAGGCATAATCAAAATGAGTGTTGGAGTCAGTTAAATGACTAATTTTTTTGAGAGCAAAAAAAAAAAAAA